ACTGCAGTATTATATCGTATGCATTGCCGCCGTCATTAATAATTGTTGTTGTTGTTGTTATTACACTATTGTTGTTCTCGAAACGGTATCAAAAGGTATAACACGATCGTGTAAGATACCGTCGAAACGTTCGTCTGTGCGTGCGATTACCGTACGCGGTAGTTAACGCAAAGTAAACGAATGTTGCAAAACCGTTCGGATTAATTAAGGCGCGCAAACAGAACTTAATAATAATATAGGTGAGCGGATCAACGGCATTATCGGATTAAGTTTCTCCCCCATTCCCTTCACCGCCAACGCGGAATCTGCGAATAATATTGTGCGCGTGCCGTGAGAAATACCACGTCGTTTATAATCGTATACGCTTGTATACGCTGTACTTCTCGTAGTTGAACAGGATCCTGAGCAGGATCTTTTCGTGAGAAAGTTTTTTTTTTTTCCCCGTTACTTTTCGTTTCAACCGAATAGCGTCGACGAGTGAATGATAATATTGTTGTTGCTTTTGAACTCGAATGTGATTTTTTTCTATCGGCAATCATGCCTTTTCCGGCTTTTCCGATGTGACGCGTATGGAATCTTTCAATGGAACCACGTTTAACATCGATTGGCCAAGTATACAAAAGGGCATACATCAATTTTTTTTTACCCGGAATACCGCCGCCCGGAAGACACACTCGTATAGTAATACAAGTTAGGTAGTTCGAGTAAGGCATTGTTCGCCAAAAGCCTATATTTCTTATTGCCTTTATCCGGTAACAATAATTTGAAATCCATGCTCGTAAAAATTTGCACCTGGAAAACGCGCTACGATGGACAGAACCCTACAACTGCGTACGAAACGGACAGTTGACGTGTGTCGACCAGAACTAACATGCTGATGATCGATCCTTCGTGTACATGGTAAAAAATTAACAACACGAGAGTTTCGTTCAGACAACCTGGGGAGGAAAAAGTATACAGATTTATCAGCAGTTCATCGGTGCGCTCTTTTCAAACTATTAGTTTTGAGGACACATTACGATTTAATGAAGAGGTATTTGTTTCTCTTGCTCTTTTGGTCGCACCTATTTGTGCTTTTTTTGGCAGCTTGTTTTTCGAATTGTTTGTTATGCCTTTTGGGCAATTTTACACAAAGTGTACCGCTCTTTCGAGTATCGGCCATAATACGTACGCGATAGAACGTGTGCTCTCTCGCCGAGTCTGTGCCCCGTCGTTATCGGACCGCCAAAGCGACCCGGTCACGGTCGGAATGATCTGCATCCAACAGCCCGTGTACTGTTGTTCCACTCTCGCGTTATGTTGTGCATGGTATTATTGTCGTAAGGACGAATGGCTACGTAGTGTTCGCGCATCTGCGCGTTGTTTCTGTTTCGATTTTTCTATTCTATTATTGTAATACAGGTACGTTTCCTCGTCCGTTTGTTTGTTTTACGTACGTATTGACCGTTTGCATGACATATTATTGTACATGTGCGCGCGCGCGTTTGTAGGAAGTGCACGATAACGCGGTTTCGGTCGTGTCCTATATTCGTTCGTCCGTTAATTCATCACGCATGAGACGGTATTTGTTTCGATCGCCAATCCTAAAATATAATCGCGCCGGAGCAGATACGCGCGTTTTCGACGACGATCCTTTATCCTGCGATGGCGTGTCGGAGAACGTGTGTTAAATCTCGACGGAAAGTCCGTTCCAGAATAAGCTTTGTACAATGTTGACAAATTCGGTACTTTAAAATACATATACTCAATATTATAAATACTAGCTATTGTACTGTATTTTAATTATTATTATCTCCGCCGACCAAATAAGCCTCCTAATGTCGTTTTCTGTACATTTGTTTTTAAGTTTATACAAAAGTAAAACGCTATTGTTAGTGAAACTGTATAATGTGTTTCGTTGCTTTAATTGTTTTTATTCGACCACAGAAATGTGCACATATCACGTGAAATTAAGGTCTGCTCTCGTCGTATTTTCTGTTCAATACATTACGTTGTCCTGCTACATTGTGTTTGGTACTTTACAGACAATCTCTCAGAAAACCCGTGGGCGCACTGTAAATAATACATACATACGACACATGTTTATTTTATTTGATTGATAACAGTTGTGTAAGCGTTTTTTTGACTTTGGTCTTTTAAACTCTTCTTGGTAGACATCATGCCCATGGTTTAATTTATGTTCTGTAACATTTCACTAGGTAGTACAGGTACATAAATTGCATTAGTCAATTAAATATACTCGCATTAGTGTAGAGTTATTAGTCCATTAATGTATAACGAATTTGGCGTTTCATGTGATCTACTGAGAGTTAACTATTATTACCAATATCTGTGATTGCTAAATTTTTTTTCGATTAATAAGAAATCTTTTGTTTCATTTCTATATATATAATATTATACGCATTTGCAATTGTTTGTAAAATATGGGTAATTTATAAATAATTTTAATAATAAATATTTGCTATACTCTGTACAATAATTGTCAATTCGAATGCCAAGTATTAGTATAAATTCCTTAGTCGACATTGCTTTAGCAAATATTTGAAATCTTGTATAAAAGTTCGCCGTATTGAATGTCTGCGGGATTATTGATTTTCACACAGATGACACAATTTAATTTATTTGTAGTTTTTAACTTTCGTATTTTTTATTCTTTTTGCGTTTTCTTATAACTGTTTCAATTCACGTATATATGTATATTTTTTAAATGTAATTTGTGCCATGTGCCTAATTTTCATCGAAGTATAATGCGGCTATCCATTAATTTGTCCTGTCTCTTCAACGAAACAGTGATTTATGAATATGATTTTGTAATAATATAATATTTATCAGCTTATCAGTTTTGTTTCATTTTACTTCTCGGTGAACTCAATGTGAATTCTGTATTGATTACTCGTAATATTTGATGAATATTAAACCGGCAATATTGTTTTATGAATAAATAACAAAAAAAAAAGAAAAAGAAATGTTATCACACCACCTAATTGCATTGTCCAATTAACGTTAGCCCCATAATATTTATTGTGTAAAAAAATGTTAAAAAAAAAAAAAAAAACAAATAAAAATGGGATGTGACAAATAAATTTAAAATTATATAAATTCTCTCGGAAAATTATCTCCCAAATGAGCACTATTTAGTTGTTTTGTTTAAAAATGTAATAATGTTTAATTATGCTGTTTTAAGAGTTTATATATTTTGTACAGCATAAGAATACAACAAAACGTTCCGCGTATACCGCGTTGTACCTTTTTCAAGAACACAATCATCCCATGACGGTGGCATAAGTCAAATAATATTTTTTATCTTTTATCGTATTCCGAGTCATAACAATACAACGTTTGTTGTTACATTGGGCAAATAAAGCAATTTTATGTTATTGCAATGTATAGCATTAAAAATAAGTTGGATTTCAGCCCAAAACCTCAAATGTTTTTTTGATTATTCGACCAAAACCTTATACAATTCTATATCATATAATAAAGGCATGATATTTATGTATACAATTATATTGCAATATCTGCGCGTTATTACACACTCGTATGTACTGAGTTTTATATATATATAAAACTCAGTACATATATATATATAAGATACTGCACATTAAAATAACAAAAACGAATGGATTCTAAAGACGTCTCATTTTAAAAAGTGGATATTTTAAAGATATTTAAAAAAAATATATGTATACTTTTATACATTTTTCATGTGTCTTTCGATTTGCCTTGAAAAAATAAAAAATAAATTTTAGGTACTCAAAATGTTACGTTCAGAATCCCTTTTCCAAACCAGTTAAGTAATAATAGCGCGTGTACCGTATATTTTACTAATAATAATAATAATTATTTATGAGTTAAACGCATCGAATCGTTGTGTTTGGTTGGAGATCTTTGAACACCATATTGTTATTCTGCGTTAAAACAGCTGTGTACACTACATGTAGGGCTATATGCCGCATGCAATCGTATATTATATGATTATATTGTGTTATTTTACACTTTAGAATATAAAAAAATCATTTTCCATGTATATATATGTATTGTATCGGTGTACCGTACGAAATGAGCAAATAAAAATATATTAATATTAAAAATAAAAATTCTTATTAGGTCAAAATAAGTATTTTCGGCGTTTCTATCAATACATTCACACTTGTTATGTAAATGTACAAACGCGATTTAATTGAAACGAAACTGGTATATTGTTACTACCGCGATCGTTATGAAAATGATAATAGACAAGATATTACTGCACATACATAGCGAATAATACTACAACCGAGTTGCGTGTTCTCAATCGTTATACGGCCATAACGTGACTTAATTATCTAATATATGTATGTATTATAAACGTATGTATATAGAAACGAAATCATTCACGTGCGAATTTCGCGATCTGCCGTATAGATGTTTCTAAAATCAAACTTTGGCATTTATTTGTTTTTATCATTTTTTGTTTTTGTTTTTTTTTTATCGTTTGTTTTTATGTTCGGAAAATATATTTTACTTCAACACGTGCGTGTAACTTATATGTGACGTTTCTGAATAGAAGTAAACCACACTGTCAATTGTTATTGGTGAAGTTTTGCCGTCCGGGAAAAAATCCAATTTCATTTGCTTCCTTCTTGTGTGTGTATTTGTGTGTGTTTGCCTATGTGCAAACGGACGTTTTACTGTCAGGAGTCATTCTAAGTGTTTACGATATATAGTGAGGAAAATATCATAAAAGTCCACATAAAATCTAATGACTTTTAAGTATACACGTTTAAAAGGGCTTAAATAAAATATATTACCCGTAAAAACTTATGCATGTATACAAAACAAACCATAATGTTGTTTTTCACCGTACGGATCGTACCGATAACCTGACTTTATTATACTTAATACTATAATATCATTTAATTACACCTACAATATAAAATTAGATGTTCGTGTACCTATACATATATATAATATATACATAGGTAGATATGGTAAATAATATTTATTATATAGCCACTTACTCAAACCGATCGTCGTAGCTCGGTTTTTTGGTATTATCCTTATGGCGATGTCGCTTGTTCGATCCCTTCTCCTTCTCTTTAACCACGAACACACCTCCGGTTGAGTACGTGCCGCCCATTTCTAAAAAATAAATCGGTGTATAGAAAATTTATAATTATATTGTATATAATATTGTTTTACTCAATGACTGTGACGATCGTTCACGACCGCCCGGATCGTGATATATTTATTAATTTAACACATTTTTATTTTATATACTTGTATAACTTGATGGCCATTCTAGATATTTATTCTTAATACTATTAAAACTATTATTTTCTTTTGATATATTTATAAAATTACGTTTATGGGACGATTTGGAAACTGCAGACTACTGGTTTTCAACAATAAACAACATTAATGGACGTAGTTAATCATCAGTATAAACAATATTCGGTCGGATTAATATGTGAAAAAAATTGTTTCCCCCCTCCGTGCACATTAAATTGATAGTAAAAACTTTCTCAATTTTATTTGTGCTTCGAAATGACTTTACGACTTTACGATTTTCATGCGTGACTACGATACTGTATAACTTTGGTTTTTTTTTTTTTTTTTTAATGTTAAACTTTTAAAAACAAAAGACATTTTTATTATTTGAGATTTTCCGTCTCGATGAGTATCCTATTTATGTATACGAAATATGATTTTTCATGTGTGCGTTTCTTCAAACATAGATACATCGATTAATAATTTCGTTTATCAGTGCTGGACCTATAAATTATAATACAGCGTAACATATAAGTTACCAATAAGTAATTAACCTAAAATGAGTTAATTCATGGATTATTATAGGCAATTTTTTAGGTAAGTAGGTTAAATTCAATATTTACACAACCACGCTATACAAAGAAATATTTTCTTATTTTAAGGAAATGTTTATTTTCTATAAAAATACTTAAAACTGATAGTCGGTTTAAATCTAAGTTTACATCTTAATTTAATAAAGCATCTACTATAAATAAACTACACTAATACTTTACTCCCTTTTTTTTTAAGCAAATTTGTTTATGTTTTCTTGATTGTTTACAGTCGGCCGATGCAATATCGTTTATCTTAATTGTCAAGTATGGTCGTATACTTTTATCAAGGCTATAATATCGAAAATATAATATGACGGTTGTCGTTCTTACATTCCCTGACCATGGTTAGTGCAATTGCTAATTTTGTTTTATCAAAATCACTTTATTGATAAATACTAGTGTAGTAATAATATGCCAACCAAAGATTTAATTTTTTTTTGGAAAAAATTAAAACATAATAAAAAATACGCACTGAACTTGTGCCCCTCTGTGATAAGCGTCCGGAACATGAGCCTCGAATGGCCTTCCCCCTTATTTGATGCTGTACGTTGATTTTAAAATGATAAATTCATTTAACATTTTTATATTTTTGTGTTCTCGAAAAGCTCGTTCTAGAGACGGTAAAAACACTCTTTAAAATTGTATGTTGCAGGTCCGTCGTATCGATTAGATACTCAGACGACGATGCTTAGGGTTTGTTTGTGGTTACCGAAAAGGCTCACGAGAAAAACTATGGCGGAAAATAAGCTGTCATTTTTGTAAAATATCATGCTATGCATATAAGTATAGTGATTATTAAAATGTCTTCTACGCATAATATTCACTCGATGAACCTATATAATTTAATTTTAAACCGATACGATAAATTTATTACGTTTGATAACATATCCATCATACCAAAACTATAATACCACATCCCGAAAAAAAAGTTATTAAAGTATACAACAGCAAAAGAAAAAAAAATTATTCGTATTCTTGTCGTATTGGTATATGGATTATACAGTTTTTAAGTTTAGACAGGACACTTTATTTTCTCGAGTTTTTACATTCATTAATAAAGTTTGAGAGAAAATCTAGTCGTTTTACTTTTGACACGGTTGCATAATATACATACAGAGTAAGTATTTAAAATTCATGTCCCGTAATAGACTTCATAAAGTTGAACAATATTTTGTATATACGTATAAAGTATGGTTTCACGTTGTATTATAATAATTCTTGTAACGAACTGTCGCTGTTTTTTATCACCCATAGTATAAAAAATTATGATTATGGCTTAAGCACGTTCATTTTTTAATTGTAAGTATTTTTCCTTCTAAAATTATAATTTATTTTATTCTTGCAAATTGAGTATTGTATAATATAATATATAGCAAGTGTTAAAAAAAGTCTATTTTCTGAATGTATATTTTACCGTTTTCCTCATGTATTTTTGCATTATATAATATTCATGATTTTAGAGTTTCCTGGTTTTTTCTCGCTCCTTGCTCATATGGATATAAATATATTTATATATTATACATGTTTTATATGTGTTTATATATATGCATAGATACAGATAATATAAAATTGTTTAAAAAATACATGGGACAATAAAACTTTTTCTCAATTAATTAACATTTCACTGTTACCCATATGTGTGTATGTGTGATTGCGCTTACGTGTGATGCCTTGTAACCTTTACGACATGGTTTCCACCTCGCCTGAACTTCAACTACTTTTATGTAATATAGAATATGGTGCTGTGTGCAGTGTGTTTATATCAAGTAAAATGATACAGCTCGAGGAAAATGTTCATAAAGCCATATTCCCACATGGCTTATAAATTTGGTATTCTGTAAATGAATCGTATGTTTGAGAAATCCTCTAAGCCTCCGAGCGGCGAAGGGAACGAATAAATGTTTTAAGAATCTCTACGCGGAAAATCTAAACATAGAATTCGTTTTGACCTCGATTTAGATGATAACCGCAAATAACTTTTTGGTTAGAATGAATTTTTCATTTCCTTAAAATTGTGTTTGACGTCTGACATAATAAAAGATATTCAGTGTGTTTTATCTAATATACAACCAACTCATGAAAATTAATGACCTTTATTCTTATTCACTTACTACTACAGTCAGTTATTCACTGTTCATTCAAAAGAGAAAAAAATACAAATAACGGTGCGCACTATGTCCGGTGTGTGTGTTTATACAAAAAAAGTTTTTTTTTTTCTATAAAGCAATTGATACTAGTGGTTTTGTAAGATATTTTTTGAGTTTATCCATTTCCAAACACTCGTTCAAATTTCATTATTGATAAAAAATCAAATTTATCATCTATTTGTGGTCCTCGGTCGTTATATTATTATTATTTCTTTTAGTCGGATCTATCCGCCATATGTATGCGAATAATCGCACACACGTTTCTTTTTTAATTTTTATGTAGTTACTCGCTTGTGTGTGTCGCTAATTTTTCTCACATTAATTGCGTGCATCTTACGAAGGAATTTATTCTGAAACCATTAAAATTAATGGAATACCGCTCATCAGACACGTCACTTTCTATGTCAGCTGTATCACACCATCGCGGGTCGTTGGAGTAGGCCATATCACAAACGTAATATATGATTATCTGTCCCTTCTAAAACTTTGTACGTTACGTCGTAATATATTTATTTGTTCATTTATATATTTCATACGGACTGTTAAGTCCAATTACAATCATATTATTATACCAATATACAATAAATCATTTAACTACTAGGTTAACATTTTTTTAAAATTCATATAAGCTATTTACAAATGGATCTATATTATACTTATTTGCTGATTTCAATATTCGATTAATTATCGAGTTTGACGTTAAACTAGTAGAAATTTAAAATTGGTAAAACAAGTCAGTATTCCTTAAATTACAATTAATTACCTTAAAATTAATCATTGACAATAGTTCAGAGCTATCTATAAGTATGTAAATTATAGTAAGTCTATAAATATATATGTATGTATTATATATCGTTGGTACTAAATATATATATACATACATAATTTTGGTATTCTTTTGTGCGCCAGTAAGTGCACTTATTTATTTACATTTATTTTTCCTCGAAAAACCGCAGAACCCGTGTGATTAGAATTTCGATCACGTCGTACAACCATCAAACCCTTAAAAACGCGTGCGAGGCGTGTTTCGAGCGCACAATCGATAAGTCGGCCGCGACCTTGCACGGTTCGTCCGGCACACTAATTACCGTCGAGGAAAAAAAAAAAAAGAGGTATATTTTTTTTCTACGTTTCATTCTTTTATCGAGCTTAATATTATTTATTTATTTTTTGTATATCAACACACATCAAGGCTAGCGCTAGTTGATTATAATATGTGCGTTTCGTTTACATTCGGATATGCAAACAAATAATTAAACACTGATTTGTTCACGTTTTTTTATTCACATTCACTGTACACATGCCATATATAGTATGCAAAACTTGCGATCGGTATGAATTTCCCGCGCCGGCTTTCTTCAACACATAGATTTTTTTTCTGGGTCATATCGCACCCCATCTCGCCCCGTTATACGCTATTTCCTGGGTATGTGTACTGAAGACTTTCGGTACGGTGCAGTGGTCGAATTTTAGTGAAAATCCGAAAAAAAAAAAAACACGTGCACCATCTACTTTGCATAGCTTATTGTGTTTTTATACGCACATATACGGGTAAATTATAGGGGTTATCCCGGGAGTAGTACCTGCAGCGGTTATATATTTATGGGGTTGCCAAATGCGTGTATCCCGAGAAAGAAAACATCATCAATCCTATGGATGGTGTAATCGGTGTGAAAGAAAAACGGATAATGGCTTCGCACCGTTCAAATACATAAGGAAAATAAAAAAAACTCACCTGCGCAATGCGGCGATGACGGCCGGTGATACTTGGCCGCGTGGGATCCTGCGAGAGGAGACCGAACTACTGGACGTCCACGGAACGAATGAACTATTCGTGATGTGCTCTGCACACACCGCTGTAATCGTCTAATCAAAACCTCGATTTTCGTTCTTAATTATTAAGAATGAAAATCATATAACGTGTGTGTATAATTTTTCTCGCTCGCCCACTTGATAGATCTACTGGAACGACGCGCGTATAGATACGTGTCGGATGTTACTTTCTTTTCACATTTACTAATAACGCGCACAGCGGTGTGCAGGTTTTCCGTAAACCTGCGTGCGTATGAGTGTATGTGTGTGTGGTGTATGTATGCACTTGTTACACTGTCTTGCATTTAATGATCACACCATAGTACAACAACAGCAGTCGAGATGTTTTAATAATAACGAAATTCGTTACAAAGTGAAAATGATCACTGTTCCGTAGTAATCTAGCCGTAAAATTTCGTTTATCTATGATTAAGGTGCGTCGTCATACTGCGGGTATGGGGAAAATTTTCTGTTCCCAGGAAGAACATTGCTGATGTTATCACCGCTATAGGTACAGCAGTAGATGATGATAGATATGTGGTATTTAAAGTGGTCCCTACACGATCAATAGTACTGTCAATAATCGGATCAATAATATTGAAAAACGAACAGTAGTGTTTTACCGTGAAGGGTTCTGGAGTTCCCCAGGTCCCGGGTTTAGGCTGTGATATATTATTCATTCGGGACGCTTGGGTTTTAAACGCTATGTTGTATTTTTTCGTTAGTATAGAATTGCATTTTAAGTCATAAATCATTAATGGGTTAAAAATGGTTGTGTCTAAATATACTATATTATAAGATAAAATATCGGATGATAACATCGGAAGTATCAATACCAAGCTCACTTGACGACGAATCGGTCGACGAGCATAAATTCTTAAATCCTTTGATAACTTCATATCGAGATCATCCTAAACTATGGCAATTTAAATCCAAAGATAATATCAATTAAATTAAAAAAACTATAGAACCCAAAAAAATGTATTCTTCTTTCGTCTGTACATGGCCAAAGAGCGAAAAATTCCAAATTTATAATTGAAACCATTTAAAAATAAAAAAAAACAACTCTTTGAATACGACTGGAGCACTTTGGAATAAAGAGTAGATTGAAGTACTCGTACATTGACGCATATGTCAATTTAAACTGTCAATATTATTTATCGTATAGTGGCCACTTTGAAGAAACAGATGAAGAAACAAATGCTGCGAATTTCATTTGTTGCTCCGGCCAGTGTAATAAATAACGTACAAGATAGTACATAATGTATATTCACTCAGTCGAATGGCGTTTATGTTATTATGTGAGGTACACGAAAAAGTAATTACCTATACCGTTATGGTAATTTTATGGGCTGAGCTATCACTGAGCTTTTGATACCCGACTTGGTAAAAAACGTTCAACATAATAATTATAAGAGCTTAAATCTATATAAGATCACATCTATAATTAGCATATAATATATGTAAAACTTTTGAATGGTCGAATGATGTATTCGATACCAGCGGGAGGCCTTTTTTTTTTGTTAAAACGAAAACAAAACCCTGAAATGAGTTTTATTTAATTTTTTTGTTTCTATAGAATATATTTGAACACGCCGTGTTTTTCTAGAACGTTTTCAATTTGAATTTTTCAGAGATCCACATTGAGCTAAGACGAGGATTGCCTACAGTCACAGTTCCTCTGCCGTCTAGGCGCGAGCTTTGCCAGTTCACCTTGCGGCCAGTAACGAACACAGTCGGTGATTTTACCAATATGCTAAGAACCGAGGACCCGGGTATCGACCGCGTGGTCGTATCCAGCTCCGACGGTGTGCGCATCGCGTCTTCCAATACAATTGAATCGCTCATGGAAGAAGACTTCCGGTTAACCATCAACGACCGAATTTTCACGGTCAAAGTGCCGCCGCACAAGAAACTCACAAAGGTTCGTAGTCCAAAACACCATGGTAAAACCATAACAATTCCGTATATGTAAAACACCCCATGCAACTTTACCTCAAAGTCTTGCGTTTTATATTATTTTCACCTCTGTTCCGGTACATGTGAATATTTTGAATTTCCGTAAATACATGATTACCCAACTAATAATAATAATAATATGTTCCCCATAAAATTTAATAATTTATTTTCGTAAAAATATAGCTTAGAAATAAAACGTTATTTTTTTTCCGTTTCAAGTACATACACATATTTATCCGCTATCGTTATGTTCAAATTAATACTATGGAATGAATAAAACGAAACCTTTTCAAATAAAAGGTCTCTTAGAAGGGTTTTTTTGCTTTAAACGAAACGATAAATGTATGTACACTCCAAAAATATTCCTCTTCTTCATATTGTAATAACTTTACTCCGATCCATCTTTGATCGGCTAATAAAAGCATCTGATTTCATTTAAGCGAAGATAAAATGTATTAAACTGTAGTATGCACTGCAAATAAAATACTTATTTTTAGATAATGCGATTAAACGATACCTACCAATGTTACAGTAGTCGAATGAAAAATAGCTTTTATACTCATAAATATAATTGTCATCATTCAATCACAATCAAATTAGCTAATAGACTAAAGTATTAAATTTAAATGGTACATTTATTATTTGTAAAAGAATTTATTTATTTTTTAACATCATTAAAATTAAAAAAAAAAACTCATTTATTTTGTTAAAATAAAAGAACTAAATGTTGATTGAAATCTAATCATATAATATTATCGTACCGTATTCGCATGGTCCGTCAATAGTTTTAACTAACAACAAGCAGTGTGAAAGTGCATTTGCGTTCGAATTATATTTATTTACGTAATTTACGGTGTACTGCAATTACTAGTATTGTAATTTCATTTAATGGTGTGCACTTATTTTTATAGGAAGATATGGAACGGCTTTCTGGTGTCAGAACTCTAGTTAGTCAATTGTACGAATCGTTGAACGTTGAAGAACATCAAATAAAACAAGAAAGGGAGCTTTTGGCCAAATTGGAAGAACTTAAAGTCAAATTGGAACCCCTGGAAAAGGTTTGATAGTATTTATTAACGATAATTTTCTGGGCGGTTATTAAACGTAATTAATCCGTCCCGTCCCATGTACGATCGATCGTCAAATATTCGTTAGATTGACTTATCGATAAACTCGGAACCATGATAATTCTATCAGGTTGTGATTTTGAAATCAAACTGCGTAGAAACTTAAAGCGGATATTTTAACGTCAACACGAAGTGTAACACTTACGATAATTAAAGCGAAATTCCCGTGGTATTCAGCGTTAAATCGAATCGGATGAACTTAGTATAATTATAACAATAATGTACTTTACAGTTTGATAGCTAGCTGTGTGTACATTAAATTAAGAAGCGGATAATCGGAAAAGGCAACAGCCATAAGGATTTGGCTACCCACCAAATTTTGTTTGACGTAAATACATTAAAATGTAATCAAAGTTTAACGGAAATATCTATCTATATATATATATATATATATATATATATATATATAACCGTATGTAGCAAATATATACCCGACTACAAAATATATTCTCTGGTAGATATTCGGCTTTGGATTAAATATCGATAATCCGTTAGTGTCGAATGCGTACCACAGTCATGTGAACATCGTTTATAATTAAGTTTGAATCGTTTCAGGATACTTGACGTCCACAATTAAATATGAACACATAAAATGATTAATAATTATTTTGAAATTTATTTGTTTTGAGTTTAATACTTCATAAATGTGTGTATATTCGTACATTATATTTTATTATGAATTCAATTCGTATCGTAAATTATCTTTTTAAATCAAGTATATTCGAATAAACATCACGATTAAAAATAATTACAGAAAATGACACCATAAGTTTAAACAATGTCTGTGTTTTCGAGGAATCACTGTATCTTATTACAATCTGAATATGTTTTTTTTTTTCAACTGCACTGTAGATTTCATGCAATTGTCATTTATACTTATTCGTACATACCAGTTTGTGTTTATTATGTAAATATTTTTTTTGTGGACAAATATTAGCTCTTCTCGCGGATTGATGTAATGAGCTGTAATTAAATCATGTTGCAATGTACTCTCGTGTCACTGATAAGTCGATTGTCATCATCATAATATAATCGTACATTTCGGAAAAGAATGTATTTTATTTATTAAAATGTGTTTAATAATTATTAAATTTAATTAAATTCATGTAAATGTGTTTAGTTTATTAATCCAACTATAACTAAGGGAGTTATTTCAATTACATACACATTGCTTTTAAGTCATCGATTGCATGGTTTAAATCACTGTGTGCCTTAGTAAGATGCATACATCTTTTACATTTTACTTTGATGTAAATTTTAATTTTTGTAACGACAGAATTGTTTTTATTTTCTTTAATTCGTGTGTAGAACGTATAGACAATGATAATTAATGCCGTGCCGGAGTCAAATTGAAACACGATAATTGACAATCCATTCTTTCATAGAAATGCCGAGGACAAAATTTAATTATTCAATTTATTTTTTCTTCATATATATTTCGTTCGGAAGTGCTTTTTCCTATCTGTGTACGAAATCGATTTTCAGTCAAAAACAATACTAGGTCGTCTGTATACTAAAATGTTACTAACCAATATTATATCGCAGAGAATATTTTTAATTTTATCATTAAGCTTCATTTACCTCAATTAATTTTTTAAATAAACCTCTAACAGCATCAGTTGTTTACAATTCAACAAATTTAAAAAAAAATGATATGTACGATGTAAGAAACATATTCTGAAGTCAATACGTAATAATTCATACTAAAAATGTATAGTCAAATATTTTTCAGATTTAATATTATCATATTAATTATAAGTTAATTAGCTTTATTTTTAAATTAAAAATAAAATATTTTTTTATAGAATTTATTATCACATCGATACGTTTTTATATAGCTTTTCCTCCTTAAAATTTATTATTTTTAATTGATATTCAAAATATTTAAATCAAACATCCTTTTTGAGAAACATAAAACTAATTGATTTATTGTTTTTAAAATTGACATAAGCACACATCATTTTTTTTACATGATTAATAGAAAATTCATTCAATCCAAAATAATTTGAAATACCCTTTTCCCCTTCATAAAACCATGAAAACTAATTTATATACGAGTATAGCAGCGCATAAGTTACTAATACGTATATAATGTGAATATGTCATTATCAAAATGTATGATTTAATAAGTAAGTTGAATTTAAAATCAAATAAGTTTTATGTAATAAAATATTAAATTCTTGACACTTAGTTAAAATTTATCGTCAAAAAAAAAAAAAAAAATTGCAGGGAACTGACTTAATTTTGCACGCAAGTATATATAATGTTAAAAAAAATCAATAGTAGATTACACCCAAGTTTATTCTTATTCTACTTAGATAGATATTAATTGTTAAGTGTGAAATATTGAAATCCCTTCGTTACTACCTGGTTGCATAAAATACTTTTTTCGTGAACATTATCATAAATATAAATTCTAATAAACTTTAATACAGAATCATTTATATATTATTAAGGGGGAACATAAAGTTGTATAAAATTGTAATTTTCCTTCAAGAAAACTTAAACAACTTAAATTTGTTAATAAATGAAACCACAGACGATAATGATTTGGTCGCTTCTGTTCATTGAATTTTCACGCCGTGTAATATTCCAAGAATAAATGAAGAAATATTATTGATCTTTTACCGTGATATTCTAACTCATTTTGTTGAGTAGCAAAGAAAACTTATGAAACAAGTTTTTTTTGTCTGAAAAATAGTTGCAAGTTGCTATCTTGATATTATTACATTGAAAAACGTTTTTTTTTTTTTATAACTAAAAATCTTATTCTGAATTGAAAAGATATGAAAACCCATTAAAAAAAATTCTCAAGTGACATATGAAAAATGTCTAAATTTCATTTACATAAGCCATTTCTTATTATTTTTCATTTATCGTATTTTTTTTTTAATTTAAAATTTCTGTTATCATATTATACTATAATATTATGTTAATATTCAGAATTATACAAAATATATATTGTATCAAATACAATTTTACAAACACATAATTGATTAAATATATATATATATATATATATATATTATATTTAAATTAACCATATAATAAATATTTTTCACTGTTTTTTCTCCTGTAAATATAAGATGTATTGAAATCTATTTTGCTACAAAAATAAAATAAAAATAAATAATTAAAAGTATAAAACTTAAAAATAATTTTGATTAAGTATTTTTAAGATGACTTCGAAAAATCTATTTTTTTTTTTTTAATTTTCTTTTATCTCTTTCTAACTTTTTTTATGTATTATGTATTGTATAATATATTTCATATGATTCATAAGTTTAACCCTCACTGCTTAAATTTGTATTCAAATAATACAAAATAAAAACAAACAACTTAAGTATTTAAATATCTTTCATTTTGTTGTTCTTTTCTGATTACTCATGTAAAAACTTTTTTAAATTTAAAGTTATAAGAAAATGGTACTTTGGTATAATATTATTTTACGGTACCTACCTACTTATTATTTAAAATGATTAAAGCTCATAGTATTACATTAAAAAAGTTTTTCCGTAAAAGAATAAATTATATATTTCACCATTAATTTTATTATTTACAATAAAAGTTATAGTTTCATTTGTATTAGATGTATTATGTATTTCATATTAAAATAAAAATTGAATGAGTTACATGGACAGATAACTAATACAGATGTTTCGTTATTATATATTTGAGATCAATTTAGTCCTATTGGTGAAGGCGAATGTCTAAAAATCATTTATACAACTATTTATTATCATTAGTAACCTTTTCAATTTTACTTAATTAATAAAGTTTAAAATTATTATACGCATATGTATTTCTAGTATAGTATCCCAGTTAATATTTCAAGCTCATTATTAATATTTTTAAATAAAAATAACAACTAATATATTTTATCTGATATTCGTTTAAATATTCAGATAATTCAATAAATTCTATTGACATGCATCAGATTTTGTCAAAATTTAATTTTCTTAAGTTTATTACATTTTTCCTCGTCCCTGTTAGTTTTTTTTTTTTTTGTGTTTACTATAAAGAAAAATTTGTGTAAAACATATATATATTATATTCGATTATGAACATTCTTTTGACGAAACATAATTATTTTATTGATACCTTACATAAGATATCTATGAAACATGAAGATTTCAAAAATATCTCGCTAAAATCACAAAAAACTGAGATATTAGCATTAGCGAAGAAAATTTAAAATGCCAACAGCTATTGTTTTTTGAGTTATGACGGGAGAAAAATATATTGATTTAATTGAAAACCAGTATCCGGTAAACATTGCCGTTTTTTTTTTTTACAATTTTTCGTCAGTTTTTCTTTGTTATCTAGAAAAATCTTAAGTAATTCAAAAAATGACCTCATGTTTAAGATAAAATCAATATATTACTCGCTTCAACCAGAATTTAAAATAACACAATTTTTGACCATTTTTTTGTGATACTTAATTTCTTTAAAACTCGACAATTTCAAGTTTATTGCTGTTTCGAACGTTTATGTTTTATTTTAGTTGTAAAATAAAAATACGAACAAAAATAATTCTATTCTCAAAGTAGGTAACCTACACATCATATTGTTGTAGAAACGTATAAATAATATTACGAACAAAATTGGTTAGGTTATGTTTCTTCGGCATAGAATAAAATATTTTAGCGTTGTATTAAAATCGACCATGACAACTGACAATTACCACGTGCGGAAAATTATTCTAAACAGAATATGCATAATTTATGCAAAAATGTTTAACATTTTGTTGCGGATAGGCGATGTGCGCTTGTCTTATACATTTTTATATGCCGTATTTCTTGATTTGAAAATCATTAAATAAGCTCTGTATAAAGTACAATAATAATTACAAAAATTACAAAAATAATAATTTGTTAAACGTCTTTTTTTTTACCATCAGAAAAATCACGTACGAAAATGAACTGCACATA